AAAAAAAAAACGATGTGCAGTCAGGCATAAATGAAAAAACTCATGGGCTCACGAATTTCATTTGCAAATTGCACTTCGCAGCCGTTCACACTAGGGCCGGTTGGTGGTGGTGAAGAAGACGGCCGGCGGGATGTGGCGGGACTCGTGGCAGGATGATGAAGGCAGCAAGAATCGCGAAGGCTGTGTCACTGTTGCTGAAGGTGAAGAGGAAATAGTGAATCAAATGAATTTGTGGTCCAAACATTTTCATTTAATTGAGGAAAAAGGGCTGGGCTCGTGGGCTGGACCATATATAATAAGTATTGGACTATTGGGCCAAAGAACAAAAAAAAAAAAAAAACAGCCCAACACAAGACTGAAGAAGAACCAGAAGATACCCGGCGGAAGGGAAGAAGAACCAGTTACCAGCACCGTCTTTGCCTCCCAAAAACTCTTCCGGCGGAACCCAGCACGGGCGGCCGCCCCCCCTGGCCGGGTGCTGGGTCCGCCACTGTTTTTGGCTAAAAAGGTTCTGACTTGTAGAATGAGATAATTCAGCAAAATTGGCACACTACAAGTACTCCCGAAAATTTTCGTCCCTAGTTAATTGAGACCGAAAATGGTTTTCTAAAATCCACACTAGTAAAGGGTCCTCTCTAATTACCACATGAAGTATATAGAATAATTTACAAGTAAGATTGAAGATCTCGTCACTTACCTAGGATAAATTCCAGCCTCCGATAATAACTGATCAAATCAACAAAGGAAGAAACAATTGAGAGACAAGAGGTCAGGTGTTTCAAGAAAAGACTGTTTATCTATGAAGCTAGTTAGGGAAGAGAATGAGAACACGGACCTGTCCAGATGTATCGTAGGTCTGCAAACTCAAAACAAAAACAGGATCAGCAAAATAAAACTCAAAGTCAAATATTCTTATGAATATTCGAGAACAGAACAGAACAGTACAGAACACCCACCTAACCTGATCTGCGACCAAAAAGGTAATGGACCTGCAAAATCAAAATAAAAGCAAGGTCAGAAAACGAAGAGTCGGATATCGTAGACCAATTTTTTATCAAAATATTTTATTCTGTCACTAGGAAGTGGGAATCAATGATTTGCACTGTTTAAATGTATACTTGATGTATATAAAAATAAGCATCTCCATTTTGTTACACAGGAAAAATATAAGAAGCTATCTAGACTAGTAATCCACGTACAACTGGGCCATAGACCACGGAAGGTATTGGGGCCCGAAACTAGGCATTTCTTTGTGCATTCGATGTTATTATAAAGGTCAATATGACAATATCCTTCACAATCCTTGCAGTAGACTAGGTACCAGCGAAGCACAAATCCGTAAGCCAGCCCATCTTGAATGTCTGAACAGGAGGCATTTTCAACTATGGGAAATGTTTCTGAAATCCAAGCCATCGTGTCAATACTGCAGGAATCCTCTAAATCTGCAACACTGACGTCGTTTCCGACTACAAGATAGGAATATTTCTGTAGCGAAATATTTTTACTGCAAATGCATGTATCAACATAGTAAGGAGACTTTCCAGGAGCTTCACAGTGGATAAATATTATAGGAATATTCCATTCGAAAAGAAAACGCGTTTCAAAAGTGTAAAGTCTTGAAAGGTAATTGTATGACAGACTGTTAATTGGAAATGAAGCACAACTGGTTTTTTCCAGACCAGGATCAAGTAGTCGAATAGTGAAGTTATTGTAAGAAATTGATTGCACGAAGAATCTACTGGAATTTAGATAGAGGATAGTGCGATTGTTCTCGCAAGCAAGTTCGTAGCTTGAATCGCCACAATTTTCGGGGTCATCTCTAAGTCGAAATGGGTAGCTAATGTTTGTGATGCTGCCGCAAGAAGTAGGGGGACAGTCATGGTTTTTCTCGGCTTCGCAATAACTTCCACAGTGTAAAAGAATTAAAAAGACGATTGAAATTGCAAAGAGTAGCATGATGTTTCTCATTGATAGAGATTCTCACAAGAAACAAGTATTTAGAAGGGGTATTTGGTGTGGGGGAAAGAAAGAAAGGGGGATAAAAATGTATATCAGGTAAATGGAAACAAGGAGGAAAATACATCCCATTTGTCCAATGGACGCAACCAATAGAAATACAAGTCAAGTCAATTGTACACCGTGATTTGGACCTAACACACTGGCTCATTATTTTATGATTTGATTGTTTTTTCTTCATGAAAAATTAGTGTTACTGGAAAATGTAAAAGAAAACTAGGTCCAGAAATTCATAACCACTATCAAGTGTTCTTCCTCATCATGGCACCTCAACTCATTTACCTCATCTTTCTATCACTCTTTGCAGTACTTGGATCAAGTGCTCAACATGAATGCCAAGTCGAAAAGTGCAGGCCCTGCCATCCGGTTACCCTTCAGGCTTCAAGACCGCCACCAACAGCACTGTGGCTACCCTGGCTTTGAACTTCACTGCACTCAAAACAAAGACACGGTCTTGGAATTACCTTTTCTGGTGAAGGCATCAATCAAGGACTCTAACCTTCCATTTTCGGTTCAGTTTTCCATTAAAGAAATCGATTACAAAAGTCAATCAATCGAGATATCTCAAGTTGGCTGCCTTCCAGGATTGCCAATTCTAAATTTATCAGCATCTCCATTCCAATTCCAACGTACTACGAACTTCACTCTTTTCAACTGTTCCAAAATCGAGAGAAATAATCTTCATTATCCAATCCTTGTACCCAGCCTCAGCAGTACGGATTATGCTGTTTATGCATATTTTTGGTTCGATTCCCTATATGAAATGCCCCTCCATTCCTGCAGCAAGATGTTTGACATTCAATCAACATATTGGGAAGAATTAGAGAGTCTGTCCCCTATTATATTGAAATGGTCCAGACCATTTTGTGGATATTGCGAATCCGCTGGCAAACATTGTAGATTGAAGAATGACAGTTCGATCTTGCATGATACTGAATGCTACAGCAGCAATCCAGAAGGTAATTTTACATTTTTTCAGTTTTACAGACTTGGAGTTTACAACAGAAAGAGGGAGAGTCAATTCGGGAGAAGATACAATTATATCCATATCAATTTACCTCCTCTTAAATCTTTGGTTAAACTTTACTGATTTGGAGGATGAGTTCTATATTACACCACTTTATACACATATTTTTAATAAATACACCCCAATGATTTCATAAAATTATAAACACAAATAGTTTATATAAATTTTCTTTATAGTCTGACTAATTATAAGCAAGAGAAATTAACAGTTCTTTTTCAAATGTTTCGTAGGTTCAGTGCCAAAACTAAGAATTGCAGGTGAGAATTTATGCTCAATTTTAGCTTCTATTGTGGCTACAGAGAATGTAATATTTTCTCCAGTTATGGCAAAAGAACTAAATCTGTTTGCTTTGATATGCAGGTGAAGTACTTGGTCCTTTGCTCGCTGTGTTCCTTGCTATCGCATCATATTGGATTTATAGCTCAATCAAACTTACGAAAGAGAGTGAATTGAAAATTGAGCAATTCTTGGTGGATTACAAGGCACTCAAGCCAACAAGATATTCGTATGCAGACATAAAAAGAATCACAGATAACTTTATCCAAAAACTTGGTGAAGGAGGATATGGAACAGTTTACAAAGGAACGTTGTCTAATGATGTTTTTGTTGCGATCAAGATCCTCAATAATTCTAAAGCGAATGGTGAAGATTTCATAAATGAAGTGGGCACAATAGTTCGAATCCACCATGTCAATGTGGTTCACCTGGTTGGATATTGTGCTAATGGTTTTAGACGAGCTCTTGTTTATGAGTTTCTGCCTAATGATTCACTTCAAAAGTTTATATCTTCTGAAAAACGGAGGTGTAAGCTCGGGTGGGAGAAGTTGCACCGAATTGCAGTGGACATAGCCAAAGGAGTCGAGTATCTTCATCAAGGGTGCGAGCAAAGAATCCTTCATTTTGATATTAAACCAAACAACATATTGCTGGATGACAACTTCAATCCAAAGATATCGGATTTTGGTTTAGCAAAATTGTGTTCCAAGGAGCAAAGTATGTTCACAAGTCTACCAGACTAGGGGCATTCCTAAATTAATCTCTACCAGACTACCAGTGCAATTGTGCAAACTGTGCAGTTCCTAAATTAATCTATACCAGACTACGGACTACCAGTGCAGAGAGGGCAGTATGCAGTTCCTAAGTATCCAATTAATCAAGCAAATAATCGAACACCTAGTGAACATNTGCTTCTTGAGATGGTTGGAGGATTGAAAAAAAATGATGTTGGTGGGCAGGACAAAAGTCAAGCTTATTTTCCAGAATGGATTTACAATAAATTGGATCAAGGAGAAGAAATAACTATCCAAATTGAGAAAGAGGGCGACAATAAGATAGTTAGAAAACTACTATCGTGGGACTTTGGTGCATTCAGTGGTATCCAGTCGAGCGACCCTCCATGAAAGTTGTAATTCAAATGCTTGAATCAGAAGAAACTCCCTCCATGCCCCGTAACCCATTCACTTCCATGAATGGAACGCAGAACGCAGCAACTGCGTGTGGAAGAATATTCAGCACTGAACTTAAAATCATTTCAGAATCCGAGTGAGGGCATTAAATACTGAAACCGTTTGACTGCTCCACAACATTTAAGATGTGGTTTTGCAGGTAGAAGTATATCGCCCTCTCTATGTTCAGTACTACGTAATAAACATGCATTAAATATTTAAGATCTCGGCATCATAGGTAGAAGAATGATCATCTTCCTTTGTGTTGGCTCTGTTATGGATAAGAAACTAAAACATTTAGTCTGTGTTGTTTTGAATTTAGTACATTATCAGATGGCATGTTCTAATTCAAAAGGTAAAAAGTAACCACAATCAAAATCACATATACAAAAGGCATTTTCACTCTATCTTTCTATGCATATATTTTACAACTCCATATATAGAAGGCATAAAACTACAACAGATGATATAAATGCGTTTAGCAAATCCTGCCCCCAAGTAACCACTCATATCTCATAGTGTGGTTGATAGACATAAATCCCCGATAGTCAAACTCCAACGGACATATTTTGAGTAAATTTGACAGTAAGATAATTTAGCCAATGTTTGATTTAGCTAACAAAAAAAAAATTGGTAAAAATTTAAGTTAAAGTCAACAATTTATCTAATCACACATTTCATATAATTCACAACTTTTATCAACTTTTTAACCATACATTTCATCGGGTTTTGCTAAAATTTACTTAGAATCTGATTTTTATTTAACTAAAAAGGGGTTTGATAACTAAAGGTCACAAGTTGAATTGATCTTGTGAGTAATAATTGCAAAATAATTAAACCATTGCAATACACTTACGAGCCCAAGGTCCAACCCAGCCCGATGCCACATTGTAAACGTGTCTTGAGATAAATCCTTTTTTAGTTGAAACCACATTAGGTGGCATAATTTATTAGCGATAAAATAAAGTATAGATTCAAGAGGTGGATTGAGAAATACCTTTTTCTAAAGAAAATAAATGAAAGGTTAACTTGCAAAGTGCAATAAAAACTAGAAACTTATTGTTAAAACGTATTGGGCTGCCTCACTATACTATTCTTGTTGGGCCGCTGGTGCTGTTGGGCCTGTTAGTGTTTGGGACATGGCCTCTATGGTTTTTAGCCTTACACGTGGCTGGTTATCTATCCTTGGATTGTAACTGTACAATTTTATTTGATTACTTGGCTCTTGGGATTTCGGTGTGATTCGAGATACTTCGTCTCTCTCTCTTGTCTCTCTGGCTCCCTTTTCTCTGAGTGTAGATTAGGGTTCTTACTGTGGTTTTGTTCACTGTAATCTTTCTTTGTGTTCTGGTCGATCATTCTTAGTGAAGTCTGTATAATAGTGTATGGATTGAGGGTTGATTCTAACGATTACAGTGAGACATATCAACTCCGATCTAACTGTACCAAAGAAGCTTGTAAACATTTAAAAGAACCAACTTTGAATCACCTACTAGAGCTATATCCTTTGTGGATCCTCAACGGGTGAGTAGGTCTTTGTGACCGAACATCCGGACCCTACGGGGTGAAAAAATTGTGTGTTCAAAGTGTTGTTTTATGATTCTGCACTTATATTTTGGTTTGTGATCTTCGATCCTTGTGAATCTGTTGATTTGGGACCTTACAAGTCGTATCAGAGCTTTGTCCCTGGGTTTGGGTTCTTGGTTCATTTTGTTCTTTTCTAGAGCAGATCTAGTTTCCTGGTTAGTCGAGTGGTTCTTTGTGAGGGAAAATTAGTTTTTCATGTTCACTCGCCTTTAACTCGTTGAAACTCCATATTAATCCTCTATTTTCTACTGAGTCTTAGTGATTCTGGTTCTTGACTCGTTCTGAGTCAGACGAGTGAGATTAATTTTTCAAATTCTTGACTGAGTCTGTGACTCACTGCTGGTTTTCACCAAGTTTTGGTGATTCGTTGTTATCCTACATACAACTTAAGGCTATTGGAACGATTCTGGTATTTTCTTTGCTGCTTCTTCACTCTGAAACATTGAGGTTTCAGAATCTGGTAACTTATCTCAAAACCCACTTTGTAAAGAACTGTTCAGTCTTTGAACTTGGTTATTAAGGTAAGCAATTCTCCCCTGCTTTCCTTTGTCCAAGACCTCCAGCGAGGGACNGGTAAGCAATTCTCCACTGCTTTCCTTTGTCCAAGTCCTCCTGCGAGGGTCTGGGAATCTGAGGGAGCAGTTGGTTCAAAGGGTTGTCACCCCTTAAACCTTACTCAAGATTGAGACTTACTGTTTTTCTTTAAATTGAAAATTAACTATTTTCTGTGAATTGCATTGATAAGAATATATACTTACATCTATCCTGCTGCCTCTGCCATTCATATATTTTTGGGGTCAATTGTGCTTATTGCTTGAATCTCTATACTCTGTGTGCTGCATAATTGTTTTTGTGAATATTATCTGTCATCATGTCTTCTGCACATAAGTTTGAACTTGAGACATGGAATGGTACTGGAGACTTTAGTCTCTGGCGCCAGAAGATGAGGGCCATCTTACTTCAGCAAAGATGTGTTGCAGCCTTAAATGGTCAATGGGCTACAGAAACTAGTGCTTATAGAAGGCAGGAACTTGATGATATTGCATGGAGCTCCATTTTCTTGCATTTGTCTGACAATGTAATTAGAAAAGTTGGTAAAACTACCTCTGCATAAGCTCTATGGACTAAATTGGAATCACTTTATCTGACAAAGTCTATGCCTAATAAATGTTACCTCCTGAGGCTGTTCTACAATTTTA